GCTCTATCGAACCTTGGTTTGCAGCCTCTTCTTATAGTATGATTTCTCGTTGTAATCAATGAATTTTGGTTTTTTTGTTGTCATAATTTTGCCAGGTAAGCAGTGGTGGTCGAATAAACATCCGTATTCAAATTCACAAAGTTTCTGGGCGGTAGTCAGTCACAAATAACCACCTGGTCCTTGTACATAACCAACAGTGAAGTTCTGGAAGTCTGGTTCTTGAGATAGGCAGCATTGATCAAACAAAGGCAGGAAAGACTATCGGGAAGTTTGATTTTGCGAGCTGGTAGTAGATACAACTTATTTGAAAAATATAACAACGTGATTTAAAACAATTATTTAATCATATATTTTCCTTTATCTAGTGTCCATGCTTCGCTTCAGACCTTAGTATTCTGGTTTATACGAACCCCAAGACTTTTGTGATTAACACGAATCTTTTATCAATTACCACAACATGGGGAGCGTGTGGAGTCTCCCTCTGTGGAGACACCCAAACCCACCTGGATGCGTTTCTGTGTCACCTGCTGTAGGTGACCCTTCTGTGGCTGGGAGTTGGACTAGGTGATCTTCAGAGGTCCCTCCCAACCCTGAAAATTCTGTGATTCTGTAAAAATTTAATGTAAAGCTCACTTTTAAATTAATTACCACACCATAATGCTGCTTAGGTATTTAATGTCCCTGAAGCTTGGGTGGTTAGCAGTTATTATAAGGAGCAAAGTCTAAATGATGGGACACAGTAAGGCTGGAAAATGCTGCTGAAAAATCCCAGGACAGTTTAAGCTTCTTTTACTTCTCTAGTTGTTTGTGATTGGTAAGAATTGAATCAAAAAAACATTAGCCCGACACTGAAAAGTTCCACTTTGCACAAGACACGGACTGCAGCTTCACATCCAGCAATAATCAAACCTACAAGTGATAATTTACAGATCCCACCTCCAAGATTTCATGTCCCAGCTTTTACATAAATTAACAGGCTTAAAATGTAGATTTTATAAACAGAGATTTTGCACATCATGTGGCTGTGTACGCTTCACAACAGTCATAGAAAATTATCAAATTCTTTGTCACACAAACTTTTCCTTTGGAGATGCAGCCTCAGACTGAGGCACCCGGCTCTATTCAGCTCACTTGAAATGGCACCAAACACTGCAACTTTTTCATGGTGATTCAGCCCAAAGGTATTTAGCAAAGATGTATATGCTTGGAAAGCTTCGTTTTCCCTCATTTTTGGTCCCACACTCTTTGCAGGTCACACGAGGTCTTGTAAATACAGTCCTGGCTCAGGACCTGCTGGAACAGGTTTGTCTTATACACTGTGCTTATTTTATCTGTGTGTCCTTTTTTTATATCTTTGTTAATCTAAGAGCCATCTCTGGGGACAAGTGTTTCTGACCTTCTACTTCCCTGTCACACTTTTTTCCTGCTGCATTCTGTTTCATAAGGAAAATCGACTGCTTGCTACTCCCAGTCACACCCTTGCATTGATTGCATCCCCACTTCAGGGGCTTAAGGCATTTATAAAACGTAATTAAGCTTCCTCATGCCAGGAGTGAACTATCCCTCATCTTCCCAACAGCAAAGCAAGAGGCATAGAGAAATAGGAGCATGTACAGTGTCACCCGGTGAGAAACAGCACACAGGAGAATTCTTTGCAAGTGCTGCAGCTGTAAAAAAGATTCTTCGTCCATTTGAAAAAACCCCCAAACCTACCTGAGACTATCACCTTAGAGGAGGGAAGCCACTTCTGCCCAGGGCAAGGAGTCACTATTCCATGCAATTATCAGAACCATTTTATTTCCAGCATATTTTAAAAGCCCCTTAATGGAGAAGGCTGCCAGCTGAAGACGTTTGTTCCAAAAAGAAAAACACATTCCCACAGTTCACCTCCAGGCTAGTAATCCTTATCAGGGTCTTCACCTATCACCACTGCTGCCTCTCTGTCTGCAGTCGGATCTGAAATGCTCTGTAGATGGAAGAGAGCTTAGAGCAATCTTTGGCTGCTCTCACAGCCAAACATCTGCTCACCCAAACAGCATTCCAGACGTGCAGTACACCTCCCAGCTTCACAGCAACATGCAGGGAAAGAACAGGGAAACTATTTCTCAGGCATTTACATTTGGTTTTAATAGTCAGGAAGCCTTTTGGATGCATGGGTGGCATCCACACTTTTGCCCTGGGAAAAAAAAGGCGGCTTGGGCTCCATGCTGACATCTACTGGGAGATAGACACTGCTGGGAAAATGAGGTTTTCTTCTTCTCTTGGACTCTGTTAACACCCTCTTTGTTTTAGGCTGAAGCTAACAGCTAGAGCACACAGTACGGAGCAAAGACTTGAAGCAGGGATATAGAACAGGAAATCTACAGTGTATAAGCTTCCTCTCCTCCCTGCTCATCTTCCCTCTGCTCTTCAGCATCATGACACAGAAGCTTAAATACATATTAAGGCACACTTCTGAATCTGCTTCTTCAACTTCCAGCAATCTTGAAGTTGCAATCCTTTGGGACCAAAGAGAGTCCTGTTCTATTTAGTCCTGGGCTGGCTCCCCAGACAGGCTCCCCACTGCCTGTGGTGTTTGCCGACTGCTGGCACCATCTGCAGGCCCTGCAAGAGAGGGAAGAGGAAGAACTCAGTCAAGTTTCTCACACCTTGATTTGAGTCTCTTTGCCAGTCAAAATGGGGAAGAGACAGATTACTACAGGCTGTGGAGGGGTGAGTTTGGCAAAAGCCAAGGATCTGCATGTCACTGCCTCAGGAAGATCTCAAGGTGACACCTTCAGTGGAAGCAGTGTGTTGGCATGTGGCTAACTCAGATTAAGTCCTGTGCTTCACATATGGATTAGGCTGGGGTTATGAACACCTCTGAAAATGTTATTTTCTCTTGCTAAGAGGTTATTTTTGTCTAAGAGGGAGATGGAGTGTAACTCCTTCTGGAACATTGCCCATGTAATCTGTTGCAATGAAAAAAGGCTTAAAACTTGGCTATAAAACCTCTACCCATGTGACTGCTTTCACAACTGGACCATTTGTGTTGCATTTACAGCTCTTTTAGTTCGGATTGTACCAGAGCAAGTGCTGAAGAGTGTCACAGTTCCTCCTGAGCCGAAATCTGAGAAAATCTGATGTTTCATGCCCCCACTTGTCTCTCTAGGTCCCATCCTTTGACGTGCCAGTGTTGCTGTGCCGGGTGGTGCTTGCAGGAGTGTTGCCTTTTGGCAATACCTTGAGTGGAGTCCCCTCTGTTGGAAGCAAGGAGAGCTTTGTTATAAACAGTGGGAACAGAGCACAGTTTAAAAGTATTTTGCAATGTATGAGTTGCTAATATCTAGCCAAAATAAACTAGAGCATTGTAAATCAAAAGTTAACCATTTTTTAGTGATAAAAACTAAGAAAAACTTAGGAGGATCAGTAAACACCTCTTCCAGAACGATGAAGGATTCTGGCAACATTTCAATAGGATTTGGCTGTCCAGTTCCCCATGACTCCTCCTGGTCTTGTATGCCTGCCCAAAGCAAAACAACTGAAGCTGGCAGATGGTCAGTGCAGCCTATCACTGGTGTCCTTGTTGAGGCTTAGCTTGGATATGAAACAAAGACTAAACTAAGATCAACAACTTGCTGCACATGAACCCAGATGAACATTAATGCTTCCCCATAGATTACAGAGGCATAGTTGAGGCACTTGTCTACAAAGGATGTGATTTCTTACCCATCAAAAGCTATTTAGACCATATCAAAATATGATTGTCTTACTGATAGTTCTGATCATTAGTGTTTACCCTGATTTATTTCTCACATGACAATCCATCTTCTCCAGCAGACCTGATGCAGGATGTCCCCATCTGTCAGATGTGATGTCAGGCACAGAGAAATCTCTTTGGCCCCTACCTGAATGGTGGCTGACAAGAGCCCTGACCTTTGTGGCAATGGATCTGCTGCTTGCAGCTTTGGACAGATGAAAGAGGCTGGCTTAGTACAGGTGGCTCTCACAGACTTGTCTGTATTGGGGCTTGAGGGAGTCCAGGGCTTATCTTTCGAGATCAGAAAAACATCAAGATGAGTTAAACCCAGGGGTATTGTTTCTGACCTCTGACTGTTGTCCACATTGCACCAAAAATATTCCCTGCCCTTCCCACCTGACTGGCTCAGCTTGCTCTTTAGGCAGGAGGTCAGGGGCGTTACAGAAGAATAAAGATATTTAACTTATTTCCTCGTGCAGTTTGTTCTATGTTTCTCTTACTGTATTTAAAAACCACCCGCTCCCCTGGATCTGTGCCTTCGGCTCATCCCATCCCCTTTAGAAAAAAACAGTAAGATAAGTTTGTGTTCCCACCCCGTGAAAGTTTGGTTCTTTGGCAATTTCCTCCAAGATCTCTGGACTCAGTAGAACAGTAATTGCTTAATAAATAATTGAAAGGAATTAAAGGAAAGAAGAGAAATTAAATAAGAGTTGCAAGCTCCAACCAAGGGATGCTCTTATCAAACACCTTATCTTATCAATGATCTGCTTTAATTAACCAACTCAAGCAAAGCCATTAACTCCACATTGATACAGTATGATTCTTTTTAATTGAATTATATAATGCAGGATGTAAAAACCTTTCTAAACCCAGGAACTCTTTTAAGAGATATACAGGTCACAGATGCAGAGAGAGTCTTGGGTTTCAGGGGAAAAGAACAAATTTTTCAGTCTTAAGCATCTTCCACTATGTAACCAAATTCTTAAAACCTCTAAAAAACCGCTAATATGTTTTTTAACCTTTATTAGAACATGTACTACTTCTCAGGCGTCTAAGACCTTTTACTCACTAAAAGCACTTAAAACTTATTCCATTTACTTACTCACTCACTCCATTTACTCATTTCATTTAAAAACTTTAATTCAATCCCTGCACTCTGATTTCTCTTTGAAAAAATCAGAGAGACTCCGGACCCACTAACTTCCACATTCCCAAAAGGTTCATTTCTGTGTGCACTGAGCCCCCCTGCTCCATCCTTTACCCCTTTTATAGCCACGGCCACACCCAGGACACAGAAGGTGGCTCCCGGGTGCCTCCTGAGACCCAAATCGGTCCAGGTGGGTCAGGACATTTCTTTCTTCCAGTTCTAAAATTCACGTGCTTGCCTGGAGAAAAGCAACCATTTCTCATATGTGTACACTTCCTTTTCACTGGACACAGGAGCTGAGTTGGGGACATGGAACAGAAATGTTAGAAATCCCCCCACACGAGTGTCAGAAGGAACTCAGCTGCTGAGACTCCTTAGGGAGCCAGCTGTGAAGCACAGTCTGCTGCCCTCCATGTGCAAGTTTACATCTAGAGGTGCTGCTTGTCACCAGCAAATCTAGTCCCCAGGAAAGGGATGGACATCCCTGCCTTCAGCGCACCTCCAGTGGGACCCACCTGCAAAAGCTTTCCATCCCTTCTGCACTTCCAGCTGGCTCCCTGAAAAACTCCCACCTTCATCTAAACAAAACTTCAACCCACCCAAACCTTTGATTTTAAGGCATCTCTGCGGGCTGTTGGTTGGGATTTAATATCTGTGAGAGAAGAGTGCCTTGGCTTTAGTGCTGCTGCTGGATGATGGCCTCAGGCTGGAAGGGAAGGGATTCGGGGAGGCCAGGACATACCTGGCAGCTGCGTGGGAGCTCTGGGAGGTGGAAACCAGGAATTGCTGTCTGAGCTCCTCCATGCTGCCATCACCAGGAAATGCCAGCTGTTCCTTGGTATAAGGGTTGGTCCAAAGTCTCCCTCGTTTTTTGCCTCCCGACCGTCACAAGAAGACCCCGAGGACCCCTACCCGGGTTGATTAGAACAATGTTTTCCCGGCCTGGCTGAGATGGATGCTTGCCGAGTGACTGTGTGCAGCTCTGTTGTGTTCACTGGACTGTGCTGGTATGGTACCAACCGGAGACCGCATGTACTGCACGACCGTCTCGTCTGCTTGGCAGCTATTTTCCCATCCCCCTCTTTTTCTCTATACTTTGTTTCCTATATCTCTCCCCTCTATCTCAACTCAGTTGTTGGCATTTAATAAAAATGCATTGCTGTTGTTGAATAAACTGATTTTGTCCCCTGCTATTTGCCTGTTTGCACCTCTGAGATCAAACGAACCATCACGACCCCCCCCTGCTCTGCATTAACAGCGGATTGTGACACCTGGGGGGCTTTTGGGCTGCCGCTGGCCTCTGTCTGGGCTGAAGCAATGAGTGTGCAACGAGTGTGCAAATGAGTGTGCAAGGACTGTGCGATGAGTGTGCAACGAGTGTGCAAATGAGCGTGCAAGGAGTGTGCAAGGAGTGTGCAACGAATGTGCAACGAGTGTGCAAATGAGCGTGCAAGGAGTGTGCGAGTATGACTTATCAATCGATCGCCGATCTAGTCGATCGGCAGACATGAGCAATCGATCGCCGATCTAGTCGATCGGCAGGCGTGAGCAATCGATCGCCGATCTAGTCGATCGGCAGGCATGAGCAATCGATCGCCGATCTAATCGAACGACAGGCATGAGCAATCGATCGTCGATCTAATCGAACGACAGGTATGAGTAATCGATCGCCGAGCTAATCGATCGACAGGCGTGAGCAATCGATCGCCGATCTGATCGATTTGGCAGGCATGAGTAATCGATCGCCGAGCTAATCGATCGGGCAGGCGTGAGCAATCGATCGCCGAGCTAATCGATCGGGCAGGCGTGAGCAATCGATCGCCGATCTGATCGATCGACAGGCATGAGCAATCGATCGCCAATCTAATCGATCGACAGGCTCGAGCAATCGATCGATCGGCAGGCATTAGCAGTCGAGCCCCGAGTAACCAATCACACTCATTGCACTCTCCTCACACACTCCTTATACACTTCTTGCACACTTCTTCCACTCTCCTTGCACACTCCTTACACTTTCCTTGCACACTCCTTGCACACTCTTTACACACTTCTTGTGCACTCTTTGTATGCTCCTGGCACACTCCTTACAGACTCCCTGCACACTCCTTGAACACTCCTTGCACACTTCGTGCACACACCTTGCACACTCCTTCCACACTTGTTGCACACATCTTACACACTTCTTGCATGCTCCTTTCACACTGAACTGAACTGACTGTTCACACTGAACAGTCTTTGCACACTCGTTGCACAGTGCTTGCACACTCCTTACTCACTCCTTGCACACTCATTGTACTCTCCTTACAAACTCCTTACACACTTTTCCTGATTTTCTGGGCTAGGAGCACCCAAAGCCAGTAGAACTGGCCTTAACCACTTCTTGGAGGATCTCTCGTCTTTCTTCCTTGCCAAATTCCCACTGTCAAAACCCAGCCTAAAGCTCAGCTCCCCATCCCCTTGCTCTCCAAGGAATTGGGCTTGGATTTCTCAATCCAGCAGGGCAGAAATGCTGTTGTCCTTATTGTTAGGTTAACAGATGAAAGCTCAGACCCCTTATCGACAGGCAGAGATGAAACATGCTCTAGCTGAGAGCTGTCAAGCTGTGGGGAAAGACAGAAAGCTGGTAAACATGGTGATAAAGAACACAGCAAGGAATATTTAGAATTCATTTTTGTCCCCTGATCTTCCCTATCTTGGCTACTTCATTTGGTTTAAAAGCCTGGCAACAGAAGCAGATTATGTCCCATGACATAAGCTATGTCCCATAGCCCTCTCTGCAGAGAAGGCTCCTGCTAGAGCTGACTTGCAAGAGCAATATACCAAGAAACTTTTTAAAGGGATTTCAGTGTCTAGAGGTCCTTCCAGTTTGGTATCTCCCAGATTTGTGGACTTGCTTGGGCAGTGCCAGGTCCCCATGCCCTAGAGAATAATTCTAATAATAAGAAAGACTTAGAGTTTTGTCTGACTCAAGGATGATGGAGGGAATGTCAAATTTCATCCCCCAGGGAACAGCCTCCATGTTCCCAGGCACACCCTTTCTGATCTCATCTTTATGAGGATCCAGATGCTGACTGACATCCAGAGCAGGGCTCTTGTGGGGCTGCAGGAAGAGAGAAGAATGAGATCCTCATTAGATTTTTCCTCACTATGAAGCCTTTTCTCTATCCCAGGCTCTCAGTCGGTGTTACAAAGACATTCCTGATACCTCATGTGGTTTTACAGAGTTCCAGCCACCTGCTCTTTGCTCCCCTCCTGTAGAGGGTCACCCAGGGTAGTTTAATTCCTCATATAACAACATGACTAACATTAAGTGTATTATTCAAGGTGAAACCCGACTCTGTGCCCTGTTTGTTCTAGACAATCATAATAAACAGGAGATGCTGCAGTTTGGACTCCCTGCTGAAGACTGGAAATTTCCTGGCAGCCCTTACTGTCCCAAAACACACAAATTTTCCTTAGACAAAGCAGCCAGCAGCATCTTTCCTTTCTAGTGGGAAAGATCTGAAGGCCTCAGAACAGCAGTGCCCTGGGCAAGCAGAGGCCTCTGGATAAGAGAGTCTCCTTCAGCACTCACCTGGGGCATTGCATGTTTGGCCATCTCACCTTTGCCCTTCTTTTGATTGGAACTCCAGAGAAAATATGTTCATAAAACACAATCCCTGTGCAGCTCCTGACTGGCACCAGGACCCAGGCAGGCTTTGGGTGTGTGTGATTCCATGACCATGACACCACATCGTGGGACAGGGTGGATTCTCCAGCACAAGAGGCTGCTCTGCCTTACCCTGAGTGTGCTGGACGTCACTGAGTGTAGCAGCAGTTCAGCACCTCCTCCTCCAGCTCAGAGAGGTGCAGGCAGTGTGGCCTCACCAGGGTCTCTGGGACAGGAATGCTCTGGGCGGGAGCAGAGATGGGGAGGAAGAGTTTAAAATCTAGTTGGAGAAACAGCTGAGAACAACTGAGTCATGACATCCAAGACAATGTTACCTTCATGGATTTTTCTCCAATTTGCCATCAGAAGACAAAGCTTGGAGATAAGGACAGAGCAGGAGCAAAGGTTCTGCTTTACCTTTTATCAATATCTGCTACTGCTGAGAAATTTCTTTGCAGAGTAGCATGTGCTGCTGCAGTTGCTGGATCACAAAATCCTTCTGGAACAATATATTCTCCCTGTCCAGTGTATTTTCCTGCAGCTCTGTATTGCCAGGCTAAAGCTCATGGGCCCTGCAGAGAAGCCTGGGCACCTCCTGCTGAAATTCACCAGTAATTTGTCTGGGGAAAAATCTCAGAAGCTTTTTCCTTGGCATTTGCTAAATGCTGCTCTAGCTCTGTCTGAAAAAGATAGGCAGGGGTTTGCCAAGGCAGCTCAGCTTCTTGGGGTGATAAAGGCATCTGAGCCAGTCTCTGCTGTCTCCATCATGCTGAGATTAAAGTAAAATCTAGCGAAACTATTTGGTATTTTTGTATTTGCTTGTTTTACTACCAGCTACCATATTTCAGTCATGGCAGACATTTAGAGATGCAGAGTCCTTGCCTAGAGGACTAAATACTAAATACTAAAAGTAATTACCAAAACATTGAACGACCAGTGAATGGCAAACTCTGAACATGGGAAGAATTAGCTCAGTTGGTCAGAGCATGGGGCTAATAGTGCCAAAGTTGTGGGTTTGATCCCTGTATGGGCCATTCACTTGAGGGTTGGACTTAATGATCCTTGTGGATCCCTCCCAACTCAGAATATTCTGTGATTCTGTGAATTAGCTCACTCACAGGTGCACAAGCTCAGAGGGTGCTTTTCCTTCATCCTAAAACCCACAGGGACAGAGGCAGATGCAAACATCAATGTACCTAAGCTGCTTCCTTCAGCAGCCTGAAGTATTTAGGAGTCAGGTGCCCCACTGCTTTTATGGTGCCAGCACAAATCACATAAACCTCTGAGCTGTGCTGCACTCACCAGGCAGGGCCAGACTGGCAGCCCTGAGGGCACCTTCCCCTCCCCACCTCCAGGGCCACCTCCTGAGCTGATCTGCCAGCAGCAGGTTGATCTCTCGCTGCTGGAACTTCCTGAAGTTCCTGTGAATCCATGACATTCCTGTCTTCCTCCTCAGTGTTTCCTTCTTTCTCCTCCTTTGATGGCATATCATCCTTGCATGAGCCCTGAGCCTTCTCTGGTTCCCAGCTACCAGGGAAAAAAAAAAGGAACTTCTGGGACACAGTGACATAGCTCTAGTGATTCATAATCCTTCATTGTATCTGTTCAGCCTCTTCTTCCATGACAACACTAGAATTAATTAGTCCAGGCTGCTCTGGAGCAGAACAAACCATGCAAAAGGACACCTTCCTCCCTTTGCCTCCTATGTGATCTCTCTGTGGAAAGAACACCCCAACACAAATTACTGCCTATTCACAGGTACTTGTAAAATATCTTTAATGTCCTCAAGATTGTTTTAACCATAAGTGACCCAAATCCTA